ATGTCTCTTTCCAACCCTCCCGATCTTAAATTGCCCCCTCCCACACTATCATGTTAGTTGCTTTCAAGAACACTTTGAACAACCTTAAAAGGTTTATTTGTTGGCTTATACAAACCCTGTCTTTTTGTTAGGATGTGTGTCCCATGAGAACAGGGAGGTTGTCTATCTTTTGCCACTGTATTTAATGCGTAACACAGAATCTGCACAGAGGATAAGCTAAGTAAATGTGTGTTGACAACATTAAACGAAGGAATGAAGCAATTTACTGAGAAGTCTCTCCTTCTCTCAACCCCTTGCTAGTCACCATTATAATCAGTAGAGGGCAGCAAAGATCCTGAGTTAGCTGATTCCTGGGATTTATGCCAGAAGACGTATCCCCCTTTGTGAAATAGAAGGTTCAGGTTTATCAGAAATTTCAGGGAAGTAGCGGCTGTAAAAAATTCTTTCTCCCCTTGTTCCTGATGCTTTCTCTGCTCTGAACCATTTACAGATTTTTTTTTTAATTTAAAAGATGTTTTACTATTTCAGGCTCACAATGCGCTTCCCAGAATACAAGCAGATGTTGTACTGACTACGCCAAAAGCAACCCCAATGGCCTGGAGCCTGTCCCTCCCTGCCTGACACGGTAGTGTGGAAAAAAAGACACCCCTATCACAGCCAGCAGCTGTGTGGGGCTTAAAGATTTACGGCTCTCCCTTATGGTGTATGGGGTGAGCAGGCACCAGCTAGGCAGCTGTTCATGTTTTCAGCACTTGCCGGAGCAAGTTGTGTGTGTTGATAGTTCTGTCTTGTATCTGTCTTGTATCTGCTTGTATCTGTTCCTGCTTATTCCATCCTCTCTTTTTGTTTACCAGTTCCCCCACCCCCACCAGGGCAGAACTTCAACACCATCTGCCTTTGTGGGCCCCGTCCCTGAAGAACGCACACTGAACGGGGGAGATCAGCAGAACAGTCAGCAGCCACACACTCAGAGAGTGATGTTTTCATTCACCCTCTGCCCCACAAATAGATGTACTGAGTCTTCTGACCTCCCGGGCCCGGGACGGTGCTCTGTGGGTAAGGATGATCTGTTTGGTTGAAAGAACTGCTACTAAAATCAAAAGGACAGATAGCGTTTCTCAGCCTCGGCGCTACTGACATTTCGTACTAAAAAATTCTTTGTCATGGGAGCATTCTAGGATGTTTGTTTGGCAATGTCCCTGATTTCTACCCATTAGATGCATGTCGCATCACTTCCCTAAGTTGTGGTAACCAGAAGTGTTTTTAGACATTGCTAAATGACCCCTGAGGAAGGTCAAATTCCCATCCTCCTCCGGAAAAACACTCTTAACCATCATGGTGAATACCTTTTGGGGTATGTTTCCAGCCTTGAGGCGGTGACTCCTTTCTCCTATCCCATCCTTGTCTTTTGTGACCTGAAGCCTGTGGACTCCGTAGATTGGACATCTGACCCAACGTGGGCCTCTCAGCTTCTTTATTCTGGGAATTTGAGACTGGGACTGGGGGTCTCCCTACATGTGTTCTTCGTGGAGCCAAAACTTGAATGCAAGTTTAGAAGGTAGGGGCAGATGTATGGTAACAAGGGGACAGGAAGCAGTGTCATCCTACTGCAGAGACAAGAATGACATAGACTATGGAGAAACACCAAGGATGAGCCAGAGACAAGTTGCCGAGTTCTGGCACTTTTTGGGTATAGTACTTCCAAAGGACAGGCCAAACTTCCTGCCTTGGCTAGGTTAAGGCATTCCTGTACATTTATAAATAACTCTGTTTTCTGTGCTAGAGCACTTTTTTCCCTGCAAGTTCATTCTAACTGGTACATTCTCTGTGGCCTGGAACTGAAATTACAACCAGGAGTATCAGGGATCCAGGCAGCTGAAGGGTGAGCAGTTTCTAACCCTCAAGACAGCTCCACCCACCTGGGCACATGGGTGCCATTCTCCTTTCTCACCCAAGGGCTTTCTCGCCCTCTCTATAGAGGTTTTCCTCTCTTAACCTCGGCTTGTACCTGGCCAGCTTGTCATGACCTGTACTCAACTTCTTGTTGCTCATTTACCACCAGCTTGACTGCTAACGACAAGCGCAGGCCGAGTTTCTTGGCTCAGATTTCTGAACAAATGAGTCTCGTTGGCTCTCATGGCAAACCCTGTTGACGGCCTCAACCAACAGCCATCTGTCCCTATCAGTTTTGTTCACCTGAACAGCCCCAGGTGCTGACTTAGAACTGGTTTGTAAGGTCAGTGAAATGTAAAAGGAATCTTCAGGTGGCGGCAGGGGGGAGGAGCTTGCTTCTGGGAAAGAGTTCTATAGTTTTATCCTTGACACAAGAAGGCAAAGTCTTCCAGCTAGCCTGCCCCCTCCGGCCTGCTTTGGAGATGTGAGGACATAGATGGAGCTGTGGTAGCCATTTTGCAACCATGAAGTCAAGCCCAGAGAACCAGAGAGAAAGTGACGGTAGACGGCTATAACATTTTGGAACTGACGAATTAACCAGCTCTGGAGCCTTTACCTTTAGACTTCTTGTTACATGAGATAATTAGGTGTCCTTACAGTTTAGGCTATTTTGACTCAGGTATCCTGTTACTTGAAGCCAAAAGGATACTGACTGATACAGTATATAGCTCATCTTTTCTGGCCGGGTCACCCAGGTCCAAGGTCACTAGCTTGGCTCCCTGGCAGATTGATTGCCTTGGACTCACGCACCGCCCTGCAGTCCATGTGTTCATTCCCCTCCCCTGACCTTGTATTATGAAATATTTTAACCCCCCCACCAAAACAAACAGTGAGGAAATAATACCAAGAACACTCAAATATCCTTCAGCTTGTTTCACCACTTGTTAACATTTAGTTACCTACGTAACTAAAAACATTTAGTTACATATTTCTGTGTATATGGGGGTATTTTTGATTTATTTGAAAATAACTTAGAGACTTTATGAAGCTTCACCTCAAAGTACTTCAGCATTTATCTCTCAAGAAACAAGGACATTCTACTTATAGATACAGAAAGCAAATTGGTGGTCACCAGATGGGTAATAGATTGGGGAAGATGGGACTAAAAGGCGAAAGGGTTTAGAAGTACAAAAAGCTAGTTATTAAAATAGTCCCAGGGATGTAAAGCACAGCATGGGGGAATATAGTTAATAACATTGTAATAAGTATGTCTGGTGCCAGATGGGTGCTACATCTATCAAGGTGATCATGTCATGAAGTTTGCAAATGCCTAAGCACTATGTTGTACACCCAAACCTAATATAATATTGTATGTCAACTGCAATTCAAATTTTTTTCAAAGTTATTTTTTAAAAAGTGAATTAACCTAAATTAATTTTTTTGAAAAAGAGAAAACAAAAGAACCAGAACATTCTCTCATATAACCAAACTGTCATTATAATAGTTTTAATTATATTATTATCTAATATAAAAATCTCGTTTAACTTCCCCAGTAATGTCCTTTGAAGCTTTTTTTTTGGGGGGGGGGGCTTATTTTGACTTAATTTTGTCTTTGTGTTTGTTCTTACCCAGGACTCATCAAGAACCATGTGCTGTTTGAAAGCTCTCATCTCTGTTGTCTCCTTTATCGTGAAACCGGTTTTTTGTTTTTGTTTCTGTCTTTCCTGTTATTTACTTTCAGGCCAGTTCTTTTATGGGGTGTCCCATAATTTGGATTTTGGTGTTTTTTTTCCCTTCAGAATTAGCTGTAATTAAAGGTTTTTAGCAAAATCTCTACAGAGGCGATGTTGGGTCTTAGTGTATCTCAGGAGCCACACGACGGATGGCCTTCATGGTGTCCTGTGACTGGTCGTGCTGGGTTTAATCTGTTGACTAAGGTGCTGCCTCCCAGAACTCTCCATTGTGAAGGCATTTATTTCCTCTTTATCATTGAGAAGTGATCTGTGAGATGTACTTACTAATTAAATGTCCTGAGAATATGACAATAACTGGTTCCCCAAGTTTTATTCAATGGTTTGGTACGCATTTAATAGGCCTTGCTTGAATCAACTATTACTGTTAGTGATTACACAAGTCACACTTTTTCTAATACTATCATGTCTTCCATATTTATTATTTGGTACTCTACCTTTTACGAAAAGGAGCTTTCTCCTTCTTCGTGCTCACTTTTAAAATTTTCTTGAGCATCATTATGAACTCAGATTATTCATAACCACCAATTTTCTTTTTGATTTTCAATTTGTCCCAAACTCGGCCCCTCCCACCTAATCTCTGTGTCCTTCAGACACAGTCCTGTCCGTTTCTGAGCGTTTCTTTGCCCTCCAGCAGAGGAAGTCCTGAGCTCATTTTGTAGTTTCCTTGATCCAGACCTGGAATCAGCTATTTCTCCAGGGAGACTTGGTTCCTTCTAGCAGGAACTGGTTTTTAGAAACCAAGAACTGGGTGGTGGGAGTGCTCATTGCTATTGGGGTTTTATTGTTTCTAGGCCCTTTCTGTGGACAGATGGCAGAAATATATTTTATTTCAAATCACAGCTTTACTTTGATCCGCCAGCTCCAATCCAACACCACAGGGTTCTTCCTATTTTCTCCCCAGCACATATTTTTATCTTCTTCCTTGCACAATGAGAACCCTGGTTTTCACCAACATCAATATACTAATTTGCTCCTTCTTACAATACACCCAATAGTATCAGAATTACTATACTAACAGCACTACCAACACAAACCTACTAATAAAGCTTAAGGCTGTTCACAGCTTGTTTTCATTCTCAGAATATCGCCCCCTAGAGGTAAAGACCTGTTGCTTAAAAACCTTTAAACCTTGAAGTAGTTTCATGTTCCTCTTGTAGTCAATGTTTGGGTTTTCCTATTCTTGTTGATTTAACATTTTCTTTGTGGTAGCAGGCTTTTTAACAATTAGCTTTCCAGTTTTATTGAGATATAATTGACATATAACATTGTGTAAGTTTAAGGTGTACAGCATAATGATTTGATGTACATACATATTTCGCAAAATGATTACCATAGTAAGTTTAATATTAGCACCAGAATTTGGGATGCTTGAGGAATTTGGGTGTTATCTTTCTGCAGGGGCCATGCCAATCTTCTCTGCATCTTTCCAGTTTTAGTACATGAACTGCTGAAGCAAGCACTAGTTGAATTTTTTGAAAATGTAAAACTGTTGTTTAAAAGTCAAAACAATAGGGAATAGGTAACAGAAAAATTTTCTTCCACCCCTGTACATAACCAATTTTATTAGTTTCTGGTTTATCTTTTCTTATTTGCAAAAATTAGCAAATATATACACATGTGCTATATACACATATAGTCTTATTTTGCCTTTTTTTTTTCTATCCAAATGGTAGTATGCTATGTGTACTCCTATTATTCTATGTTTTAGTATCCAGCTTTACCATATCGGGTTATTTAGTATCCAAGAAATCTTACATATGCAAGTCATTTTATTTTTTTACTTCAACAAAGATGTCTTTCTGTGAATAAAAAATGACACATGGCACATTACACAAACACACCTAAATCATGCTCCTTCTTCCTGTGTCTTTTGTCCCCCTCATTCTGGTCTCTAGTTTTTAAAAATATATATATATTTTATTCATTATGCTATTACAGTTGTCCCAATTTTCCTCCCTTTTCCACCTTCCACCTGGTACTCCTATTCCCCCCAGTAATCCCCTCCCTTAGTTCAGGTCCATGGGTCATGCATGTAAGTTCATTGGCATCTCCATTTCCTATACTGTTCTTAACATCCGTCTGTCTATTCTGAACCTACCAATTTGTACTTCTTAATCCCTGCACCTCTTCCGCCATTCTCTCCCTTCCCCCTCCCAGCTGATAACCCTCCAAATGATCTCCATATCTTTGATTCTGTTCCTGTCCTGGTTGTTTGCTTAGTTTGATTTTTTAGCTTCAGTTGTTGATAGTTGTGCATTTGTTGCCATTTTAATGTTCATAGTTTTGATCTTCTTTTTCTTACATAGTTCCCTTTAACATTTCATATAATAATGGTTTGGTGATGATGAACTCCTTTAGATTTGCCTTGCTCTTCCATTCTAAATGATAGCTTTGCTGGATAGAGTAACCTAGGTTGTAGGTCCTTGCTTTTCATGACTTTGAATACTCCTTGACAGCCTATTCTTGCCTGTAAAGTATCTTTTGAGCAATCAGCTGACAGCATTATAGGCACTTCTTTGTAGGTAACTCTCTGCTTTCATTTTGCTGCTTTTAAGATTCTCTTTATCTTTAACCTTTGGCATTTTAATTATGATGTGTCTTAATGTACTCTTCTTTGGGTTCAACTTGTTTGGGACTCTCTGTGCTTCCTGGGCTTGTATATCTATTTCTTTCATCAAATCAGGGAAGTTTTCCTTCGTTATTTGTTCAAATAAGTTTTCTATTTCTTGCTCTCCCTCTTCTCCTTCTGGCATCCCTATGATTTGGATGTTGATACATTTGGAGATGTCCCAGAGGCTCCTTATTCTATTCTCACTTTTTTAAAATTCTTTTTGCTTTTTGCTGTTCTAATTGAATGATTTTTTCTTCCTTATGTTCCAAATCATTGATTTGAACCTTGGCTTCATCCCCTCCACTGTTGATTCCCTGTGGATTTTTCTTTACTTCACCTAACACAATCTTCATTTCTGCTTGGGTCTTTTTTATGTTGTTGCCATACTCAATGAGTTCTTTGAGAATCCTGATCACCAGTGATTTGAACTCTGCATTTGATAGATTGGCTATCTTTGTTTCATTTAGTTCTTTTTCTGGAGTCTTCTGTTCTTTCATTTGGGCCATATTTCTTTGTCCACTCCATTTGACAGCCTCTCTGTTTGTTTCTGTGTATTAGGTAGAGCTGTTTTGACTCCCTGTCTTAGTAGCATGGCCTGTTTTAGAAAAGGCACCTGTAAATTGTGTGGGGCAGAACCTTAGGTGGTCACCAGGATGGGGACAACATGTTTCACTGCTTTGTGACTCTGTGTGGGGGAGGACTTAGAGAGGGGACATTGCCACTGCCTGGCCCTGGAGATTTGCCCAAGAGGAAGCTGTCTCCCTGGGATTTACCTCCTCCAGTTACTTTACTTTTTTCCCATATGCCACTTGTGCCCTTCCAGCTGTTGCCTTGGTGCTGAATCCTAGAGGGTGTGGGTCTGTGTGAGTCCTGAGTCCATTGCGACCCTTTAAGAGAAGTCTCTTGAGAATGCCACAGTTTCTTTCAAAGTCACTACCCCCATTGGTTTTTGAAGCCAGAAGTTATGGGGACTTATCTTCCTGGTGCTGGACCCCTGGGCTGGGTGGTCTGGTCTGAAGCTGGGATTTCTCTCTTTTGAGGTATCCCTCCCAATTTTTATGCACCACACGTGAATGTGGGACTGACAGTTCTGCCACCTCTCTGCCCCTCCTAGCAGTTTGGATGAATGTGGCTTCTTTAAATCCTTGGTTGTCAGATTTCCATTCATCTGGGCTTTCTGACATATCTGGGTGAAATTTGTTCTGCAGTTTAGGTGTAATTTTTGTTGTAGTTTTGAGTGGAGGCAAAGCTTGTTTACCTAAGCCTCCATCTTGTCCAGAAGTCTGCAAGTCATTCACAGCACTAGTTTTTTGTAGGGGGGCTTTGCCCACAGGGCCCCCCTGGCCACCATGGATGAGAATAAGTCTACCAAGACATGATCTGCTTGGGGAGGAAAGGTGGCCAATCTCTCAAAGGAGAAGGGCCAGGAGTATGTTCCTCAGTGGGCTTTTATTGGGTTCGTTTACACAAGAATTCAGGTAAAGTTCATTAATCATTGCCAGGCAGTAGAGATCAAACAATGGATAACAAAGAACTCTGAGGGCCTATTTTGAGTCAGGGTCAGATAGCTAAAGAGCTGTAAAACTTTGAGGAACAAACTTACTTTTTGTTTGGACCCTTATCATTTAATTGAGAGCATTCTAAACAAAGCAGATTTCATAGGATTTTACATATTCGTTCTTAGGCCTGATCGCCCAGGGAACCCGCCCTTTCCAGCACAGGGCTGTATCACCCTCTGTCATTGTTTCAGGCTTAGGTGGAGCAAGGGAAGTAAGGCAGCCAAGAGATTAGGACATTTCTCGCAGATGGAATGAGGACTCAGGCTTTGTCAAAGCTGAGGGGCAAGGGGGTCCATCACCCCCTTTTGCTGTAGCCCCCAAAGTCCTTCCTTGGAGGCCTCCCACATGATCGTGCCTGTCTTAGGTCATTCCCCTCTTGGGGAATCTTACCCATCATTGGCTAACCAACCAAGCATTGGGGGCCAGTTATGGATGAAGTAAAAGGAGCAGAAGCAATGTCCCTACCAGGGAGATAAGCTTTGTCTCCTTAGTGGCTTCTGGTCTGAAGGTTGCTTACTCAGCCTTAGCTGTGGGGGGATTACAGCTTCTGAAAGCAGGCAGGGCGGTTCCCAGCAGTTTTTTACTATGTAATCTATTTTATTTGCTCTCTCAAATATACGTGATATTTAGGAAGGTTTTATTTTAGTGGTTACTTTTATACTCAAGTTTATATACTAATAACCTTAGTTCCCTCTCATATTTGTTATTTTCTTGGTTTCCCAACAAAATGGAAATCAGTACATGATTTCTTCTTTCCTCTCTCCTCCCTATCCAATAACATCTTATTTTAATAAATCTTTTTATCTCATCAGTAACTGTAAAACAGGTATATTTTATTTTTAATCTCTCTTCCCATTCTTTCTTTTTAATTATTGTATAATATTTACTTTGCCTGGACGCTTACTTTTTTTAAAAGATTTTTATTTATTTATTTTTAGAGACAGGGGAAAGGAGGGAGAAAGAGAGGGAGAGAAACATCAATGTGTGGTTGCTTCTCATGTAGCCCCCACTGGGGACCTGGCCCACAACCCAGGCTTGTGCCCTGACTGGGAATCAAACCATCAACCCTTTGGTTTGCAGCCCACACTCAATCCACTGAGCCACACCAGCCAGGGCTGGACACTTACTTTTCTTATAATCATTATAGTTTTATGGGTAAACATTGAATGCTCACCATCAGTCCTTATGCCAACATCTTTCTATTCTGTTTGTCTGAAAAAAAAAACTTTCTTTAGTAAACTTCTCAGGAAGGGCACATGGGAGCAATATTCTTTGGTTCTTTTTGACAGAAGGAAAGAGAGGAAGAGAAACATCAATGTGTGGTCGCCTCTCACACAACCCCCAGCCACACTGGGGACCTGGCCCTCAACCCAAGCATGTGTCCTGATTGGGAATTGAACCGGTGACCCTTTGGTTTGCAGCCTGGCGCTCAGTCCATTGAACCACATCAGCCAGGGCCTTTTGTTCTTTCATATTCATAATTTGCAGTATTGTTAGCTACATATAAAATCCTTGGTTCATGTTTTCTTTCCTTGGATCTCCCCAATATGTTACCCTGCTTCTTCTGGAATAAAGTTCAAAGGCAATCTCATTTCCTTTCCCATTTAGGTGACTTGATATTTAGACCTACCTACATGATTTTTTTTTTTGTAAAGTCTAGAAATTCTTTTTAGAATATATATTGACATTGATTATTCTGAATGGATTTTCATAGGTACTGGTGTCTAGGTATTTCCAGAAAGTTTTCTTAAATGTTAGCTTTTTAAATTTAAATTACTTTTAAAGTTTCCATTGCTTATTGTTTTCTTCCTTGTGGGTCTTCTATTTTATATTTATATCATATAATATAGTATATTGTCTAATTATATATTATATACTATATAGTTTACATTATATAATTATATATTGCCCTGGCTGGTGTGGCAGAGTAGACTGAGTGTTGGCCTGTGAACTGAAAGGTTGCTGGTTCAATTCCTAGTTAGTGTACAAGCCAGGGTTGCAGGCCAAGTCCCCACTTGGGGGTGTGTGGGAGGCAACTGATTGATATATCTCTTGCACATCATTGTTTCTCTCCCTCTTCTCCTCCCTCCCTTCTCCTCTCTCTAAAAATAAAAATAAAATATTAATAAAATCACAGTATATAATATGTAAGTGTTTTAATTTTGTTACACAAATATATATTTATACTATAATATACATTTGTGTTATAATTTATAATTCTGTATAATTTATCATTATATAACATACATAATATGCTATAATATACTTTTAAAAATTATTTGTTTGTTTG